GCCACCTTAGGTGTATGTGGCTGGCGCCTTAGCCACTTGAGCCACAGGTGCCGAGCCCTCATCACATAATTAACTGATATACTACAGTTTGACATTAAGGCTAACTCACTTTATAAATATCACTACTATGAATCTAGTGAAAGCCAAATCTTTATGCACATCTTTCAGATAAAATTTCTGGAAACTGTTTTCTAAGAATTGGATGTCCCCAGTCAGCAAAGTCTAAAAATCTTAAATCAGGCAATCCATAAAATCAAGATTAGTTCTTAAGGGAGACTTTGTACTCCCAGTGAAAGGTGTAAACAGTTGCCTCCAGAGACAGGAGAGAAGTTTAGGTCAGCTTTATTGAAAGGAGAGGGTGACCCATCTGGCCAGTGCAAAGATGGCACCTGTGGGGGCAGGTAGGGGGCATTAGAGACCCCTCTTATATGTGACTTTGGGGGGTGGGCACACTCCACAGGTTGCCTGTCAGGTTAGTGTCTTTCGGCAGGAACTTCTCAGGGGCTGGGCTAGTCAGATCCTTTGTGTCTTTGTCTTAGGAGGAGAGAAGGGGAGAGGGGAAAAGGGTTTGTATATGGCTGTGTTAGGCCCCCCAATACCCATGATCTCCTGTAGTACCAGGCATCCAGAAGGTATTCAACAGAAGTGTAAATTTCAAAGAGCTAAGATGTACTGAGCCATGTCCTGTCCAAAGAACTTTGTAGGGAATATCCCATGTACCCTCCAGATCCTGTAAAGACTGTTCTACACAGGTAAGGAAACAGGATCACAGAAGCAAGGTGGCTTGCCCACAGCCTCTCTAACAGAAGCCTCTATGAGGTTTTAGCTTCTACACCTCAACCCTGAGCTTTAGAGTAACCAGGCTCCTGGGCTGAGAAGGGAGGGGATATTAACCAAGAGAGAATCCAACCCCTCATGAGTGGTGGGTCCTCTCTGGCCTTCCCCAAGGCACCTGAAGACCAGAGAAGTAATGGGGAAGGGAGCTAGGGGGAAGGTGGAGGCTCCCAGGCTTCTGGTCTGAGCCTGGGAATTCTCCACTTTCTCTCAGCCTCCAGATTTCCCCCACCTATCTGCCCTCAAGCCCCACAAGTCTGAGCATTTTGGTGCTGGGTTCTTCAGTTAATCCTCACAGTTGGAGTGTGAGCATTTTCAGGCAGAGGGGAGAGAGAGCAAGAAGCATTTAGCAAACTGCCAGTATTTCAGATGACTGGAGGCAAAGTAGAATGGAGGAGTAGAGATATTTGAGACTGGGCCTACATAACCTCATTTCTTATCACCATTTTACAGAAGGTAAAACTGAGGTCTCAGCGAATGACAGCCTGAGGACACACAGCTAATGAGTGGTAGAATTATAACGCAAACCCAAGTCCTCCCAGCACGAGCCACCTTGCCCGACCTGTCTTGAACCATAAATATTTGCGTCTGTGTCAGTCTTGCCAGTTAGGCCAGGTAACCCTGGTGTAGCAGTGACAAGCTGGCCCTCAGATATCCCAGTTAAAGGAGCTGATCACACCTGGTCAGTGGTGGACATGTGGTAATGTGGGCCCAGGGTTGCCAGACCTGGTTTTTCAAGATATTTTAATGTACAAGCTCCACATTTTAAAGTGTATTGGCAACAAATTCAATTCTAAAACAAACAAATTTAAAACAGACCATGTGCCCTGGAAAGTAATCTGTGATCTAACTCTGGCCAGTGGGCAGCCAGTATACAAACTCTCTAGAATGTAAGCTCTCTTAGCACCAGGGTGCTTTGTGTTAACTCCTTGGAATGTGCAGCTCCTTGGACTCTATTGTAAAATATCCAGGAGCCATAGTGTTTCACCACCTCCACGTGTTGCAAAATCAGTGTCTTAAATTACTGTCATGAACAGACAAGTGGGTTTGTTGACACACGTTGGGTAAGCCTCCCCTCCTTGGAGGATTATCCCCCTACCCAATCCTCCACCCTCACTCCTGGGCCTGAAGGAACCAAACCCCTTTGCAGGTCTTCCCAAGCTCTAGCTTCAAAGTGAGATCAAAGTCCACTAGAAGGGGGTTTCCTGCCTCCTGCTCCAGGGAGAACAAGGGTTAAGACAAGAAGAATTATGGGCCCCAGCTTCACACTCACCCAGCCCAATCACCAGTTCCCAGGCAGATAAGGCCAAAAATGCATCTGGTTGCCAGGAACAAAGAACCCAACTGCCCTAAGAGAAGGTGTTTGTTCTGGAAGGGTCTCCATGCAGTGACATCTTCATGATAGCATAGCTGTCATTAGCTAACCCAGGTGCTTCATGTACAGAGACTCTGTTATTCCTCATGACAACAGAGAAGTAGATGCTTTCCTTAAGCACAATTTAGAGATGAGGAAATTGAGGCTTGGACAGGTGATGTGGCCTGCCTAAGACCTTGCGGCTGGTTAAGAGGCAGAGCCAGGGACCAGTTCCCTCACCCCACCCCCGGGAACAGAGTTCCTCTCAGTTGTCTTCAATAATCAGGCTTCCCAGGGAATGGGTAGAGGTAGTTCTTTTTTGTTGTTGTTTTGTTGTTTTTGTTTTTTTGGCTGGGGGCTGGGTTTGAACCCATCACCTCTGGTATGTGGGGCCAGTGCCCTACCCTTCTGAGCCACAGGTGCCACCCCGGTAGTTCTTAACCTAAAGTTTAACCCACTATCCTGGATTGTTACCAGGGAAGAATTTCCTGGGGATTTTAAAAAAAAATTTTAAGTTTTATGAGAAAACAGATTTTGAACTTTAGTTGATGAAATGCCTGCCAAAGTATGCATGGGGGCAGTGTGTGGATGTCTGCAACTTGCTTTGAAATGCAACACAAAATCAGGTGAATTCATGAGGGGACAGAGGGAAGGACAGGGGGACTGAGCTGCCATAAGGTGAGGAGAGTCCCCTGTTGATTGTGGACCTAGGTGCTGACTGCATGAGTTTTCTGATAAGATGGTGTCCTTAGTTAAGAACAAGTTCCAGGGCCACACCACAAGCCTCCCTGCATCGGGGGTCTGGGGCAGGGGAGAAGCTGAATGACTCTGAGGTTCAGCTACTTATTGCTAGGCCCCACCCCACTTAGTGACAAGGAGGCTTCCTGCTCCTTCCTTCATAAACTATCACCAGAAAGTCGCTGGGCAAACTGTTGCTTCTTGGGTCGGCATGCCTTTTTCTCAATTCCACTCAGGCTCGGGGGGGGACTCAGGGGAGACTGGTGAAGTTATGAGCTTTGATGCATGGTGAGCCAGCCCGTGGCACAGTGGTGATGTCTGCCCTCCCCT